TTGTCCATAGTTGACCCTAGGCATTCACATTTTGAAGACATGCAGAACTAAAAAGATAGTCAGGTGCATGATGGCACACTGGTATTGTTCTTGCATAACTTAAATTTAGCGGCCAGGAAAAACAACATCAGTGATTAAGTCAGGTGCAGTCAAACACTTCACAGAATTCAACCTAATAATAAGATAATGTAACTGTTAGGAAACCTATCAGTTCATTTTCGGTGTTAGAACACGAAGTGAGAGGACCTGTGTGCGCCCTTGCACACGGGCTGACACCACAAATAAGCACAAAGCAGAGCTAAACTGTTCGGAGATTACAAACCTAGGTAACACATTAATAACATAGAGTCAAGATGTTTGAGATTACGTACTTAAAACCACAGTAATCGATGTGTGCCCATGCGGGCGTGAAATCATTGGAATTCCATTTGGTAATGCTGGGACAGATATGACCAAGTTGATACAAAATATAATACATTATAGGATACATTGATCTCAGTAAGCAAACATAGGCATACCATTGGGACATCACTAACACACGACAACTCAATGCAAAAATAGAATCTTCAGTTAAGGGAGCGTGTTAGGTAGTAGTCGCCGAGATGAAGCGTCGCTAGGCAGGCACATAATTAGCGGAATGAAATCCGTCCTTGAAAACAAATCATCTGAGGCCCAATTTTCTTCTGTGCACACAAAAAAGTAAACCATGAAGCATCCAACACCCACGTAAGCTGACTGTGCAAGTTCATAGATGGAGATGAAACACTTCTAAGAGATAGCCCCTAGTTACTTGTTTTTAAAGAAATTTAACATACAACAAGACAACTGCAAAGAAACATTACAGGCTTCATGAACTTCTTTTTTGTGACGACTGTTACCAATTTCATAATAGGAGAAAATGCAATTTTTGGGGGAACTGGGTTAATTGCTTATTGCAGAAATTAACCAAGAAAAGAAGTGGGCATACTATAGATGCAGGTGATGGCTGAAACCTTATGATTTTTAGTTCAACATCTGATATATCTATCTGGGACAAATAGAAATTTGTCATCACTGGCTGATGTAAAATAGTATAAGGCATGTATACAACAATAGTATAATGTAAATCATTATCTATGAAATATAGCAAATGCTCTAAACTTATAATAGTTATTGTGTTACTGAACCCACTTGTTTAGAAGTTCTAATCTTGTTTATCTGAAGAAACAATGCAGGTGACATATTGCTTCGCTAGACAGCCCAGGCACCTCCTTGCTGCTATTGCTAACCTACCTTGCTAATATTGAAAACATATTGACAGTCCCAGAAAAAAAGCAGCAAGCAAAAGACAAGACAGTCCAAGAAAAAAATGGGACATGGAAGCTCATAGGTGCGCCATGTAGGAATTAGAAATTGAAAGAAGGGAATGACATTCACCTTATTTGCATACTCGTGTCTTCCTGGATTGCACCCATGTAAAACGACTATAATTTTGTCACTATGTGCAACTGCAATTAAGCCATTATTCATAAGCTTAATGGCAAATGTACCTGTAGAAGGTCAGAATAAAAATGATTGGTATAAACATAACTAAATCCATCCAATGTAACTATTCATTTCAGTTAACCAATTTACAATTACCTAACCAAAGCAAGCAAATCGACAAGCTTAACATTTTCGCTTCAGCTTATTTCACCATGGTCGAACTTATGGGAAACATGTACGGCTGAATGCTAAGCTAAACATAGAGCTATAATCTTCCACCTAATTTTACTAATTTTTATAGATATCCCATGCATTCATAATGTAGAAAATCGAGCATCAAGATCTTAATTCTCTTTGCTTTGTATGAACTAAAAGCTTCAGCTTATATGGGACCCAAGCTAACAAAGCAAGACAAACAACTCACCTAAACCAGAAATGCACACAAATAACTAAAAGCTTCAATTATATGTAACACCGCCATCGTCAAGAACCATACTGCACAATGCGCATGAGGGGGGTTCAGCACAGCTCACCGCAGGCAGCCCGACACAGCCTCCTCCGTAGGTCCCAAGCCAGAGACACTGCAGCTCCTCCAAATCAACCCAAAGAGACTATTCGTAACTCATAGGTAATTGCAATCATCCAACCACGAAAGTGGTAATGTTCAGTTATTACCTTATTGCAGCAGCCTTTGAAATTGAAATAGGAGTGTTCAGAAAAGTCGATGCCAATTCATGAATTGTTCTTAGTTCTCACATGCAAACTGAAAAGAGTCGACACCAATTCATGAATTGAATGTTATATTTCTTGGCTACAAACGAAAAAATATATGAAGCAAAAACGTCAATGAACAAAGTGACATACATATGAAAAACGAAAGCTCTGCTAAATGCTTTGATCAACGTCCACTTAGCTTTAAGTCGGTGAAGATAGAAAAAAGAGAACTGAAAAGTAATCTCTTTGTATGGTATGGCTCAGAAAATATGGCCTTGGAATATTCTTAGATGCAATACTGCATAATGCTTGTCCATTACTAATACATATGGTCATTACTAATACAAATGGCCAAGAAAAATTCTATTAGAAACTGACCAAACCTTCTTTTTTTTTTGCCAGAAATGGACCATTTTTTGGCTTGCATATCACAACTGTTCCAACACAATACATTGTCACAAAGGCCAAACTTTTAATTCACAATCAAATCAAGCCAACACAATGAAAAAAATCAGGTAGGAGACTGAATTAGGAGGCGTCTTTATATCTCTATTAGTCCATTTTCTTTGTGTTCGGTTCAGTCATTTTCTCAAGCAGGTAGCAGGTGGCAAGCAGGCATACGCGGATGGGCAGGGAACTTGTCGATGGTGTGCATGCTGGCATGAGACACCTCAGATCTAATGCAAACCTGCAGGCAAGAAGAAAAGTTGGTGTTGTCAGCATATAAAGAACAGATCACGACACTGGCCAACCAATAAAAATGAAAGAACAAAAAAAAAGAAACGTTCGAATTGCTCCAAGGTTTGGGCGACACCGGGTCCAAATTTTGAGGGCACTGCCATGGCCTAGCCCACCTCGACTGACCTGTGTGTGCCCACCCTGCATCTCGGCCACAGGGCGCATGCGGCTCTTCACCCAAGACGGTGGCCACAAGCGCGGGAGGACCGATCCAACCATGGAGGCACCGGATCCAGCCATGGAGGCCCCGGATCGACCCAGCAAAGAAGGCAACAAGCACAGATCGACGCCACCATCGGCCAGCGAAGGAAAGAGAGAGGAGCGGGGTGGGAGGCAACCTTCACTGCTGCTCTTTGCGCCGAGCCCCTCTGGTCTGGGACGCCTTTAGGGGCCACCCACGCCGCCGGGGCGCTATCCTCATGGCCCGCCGCACCGCTGGGGGAAGGCGTCGCTAGGGCGCCGTGCTGCCGCCCTCGCCTCACTTTCGCGTGCCGAGCCGAGAGAGCCGGAGAGCCGAAGGCTTCGCCGCCGCCGCGCCACTGCTGCTATTGGGGAAGCCTCGCTTGGGCGCCGCGCCGCCGCCACGAGAGAGAGGAGGGAGAGGGAGGAGATGCACGAGAGAGCTAGGGTTGGGTTGGAGGCAGTATATACTCGCCGAGGCCCCCGCGCGGTTTAGGGCAGACGGGCAAAACGGCACAAGAACCACAGATCACGAATCAGACGGGCAAAAAATTTTTTGCTACCGTGGACATGTCAAGCGTCGCGAAATGGCCACAACGAATTTACTTTTTAGACTAGTCCTTGAGCGCGCCATTGCGCAACCCATCGCCACGGGGTCGACCAATGGCGAGACGACAACGTCTGGCGCGATCGGGCTCGACCAGACGACGCCACGCCTGCCCGTCGGTCAGCAAACGAGAACCACCCATCACGACTTGGACGGCCAGCATTCCATTCGCTATCGTGGACAGCCTCGGCGCACGTGCTGGCCACAACAAATGTAAACTTTAAATTCTGCGGTGGTTCGGTGAAGATGATGGAAATTCAGTCGAGTGCTTCAGTGTTGTTGCGAAAGGGCCTCATCTAGCAGACCTGCCGTGGCTCATGGAGCGAATTAAACAGACCTGAAATAAAGAATTATATATAGAAAAATAAGTTGGGTTTCCCCGCTGACTTACGTAAAAAAAAAAAGTGCTTCACTGTTGGCCTCCCGTAAATCATGTTCTTGCTTTGATGTTATTACGGCGTGCCGCAACAATCTGGCTTTGATCAGTGCCACGGTCAGAATAAGGATGCGGATTTACAGTCACTTTTTTTTTTATAACTAGTCACTTTATGCACTGTGTATTTTTTCTGATTTCACTTGTCGTCAGTTGTCGCCAAGAACTACCCTGGCTGCGTGATGCAAATTTGTGGGCTGCAATTGGGCCCACTTTTGAGGTCCATCCCATGCCGCCAAAGCCGACAGATACAAGTGGGCCTTCTGGGCCAGTCCACCCAATAGGTCTTTATAGAACGAAGATTTCTGAATAAACTTTTTTTTTGTGACTTAGATTTCTGAATAAACTTCAGAGCTTGGTTTATATATGCAGAGCTCCTGTGTAACTTTCCAGTTTTGCAAATATATTTTTAAGATCTAGCTGACATATTCGAGAAAAAAATATCGAGCTGACATGATTTGTGATCCTACTTCTGTATTTTTTTTCAAATCCTTTTCTGTCTCTCTTTTTTTAAATCCTGTGTAACTTCTTTGTTTTTTGAAATCCTTACAGTTACAGAGTTCTTTTGTACATTCTTGTGCGTGTGGCATAGTTTGGTCAGCTTATCATTAGAACATGCATGATCTGAACACAAGCAAATTCAGCAGTAATAATAATAACGAATTTAAAAGTAGTTGTCATAGGAGGAGACAAATTTGATTGTGCCATGAACAAAACAAAGGAGGACAAACCTATATGCTCGTCACTCTCATGGCATACATATCATCTCTAATAAACTGAACTCCCAACAAATATTTAGCTACTGTAGCCTGTAGGTATGCAGTATGAGAAGAAATGCAAGACAGAGCGAAAAAACATGATTAGCTAGAAACGGTGTGGTATACTGGCTTCATGGACGCGCACTGCCGGTATGGTAGCTCCCGGCGCTCCGGTGATGGCCGGCGGCCGGCGATCAGAACGGCTTCTGTCCCATGACGTTGCCCTGCGGATCGTAGTGGCACGCCATGAGCGTGTCCCCGGAGTCGCACTGGACGATGGCGCATCCGAACTCCTTGCTGTCCCGCCACACCATCTGCGTGTAGCGGCCGCACGCCTTGCCGGTGGAGCAGGAGTTGGAGCGGTAGTCGTAGTGCTCCTCCTCCTCGGCCCACGCGGCGACCGCGTCGCTGGGTAGCCATGTCGCGCCGGCCTCGCGGAGATCTCCTCCGTGTACTTGAGTGGCTTCACGTTGTTCCGCGCGCGGAGGTGCGCGTGGGGCACGTCGAAGTCCTGCCCCGGGCACGTCTGCAGCAGCCGGCGAGGCGCGGCCGCCGCCGGCACTAGTAGGACGACGGCGCACACTGCCAGGAGGAGGAAGCACGAGAGCCGACGGCTTCTTGAGGTGAACTCCATGGTGAAGACGACCAGTGTGTTGGTACGTATGTTCCAGCAAAGCTAGAGCTACTAGCCTAGCTGTGTAAGAAATGGTGGCGATGTCCAGTGCCTAATGGTCACTACGCCAGATTTTTCCTGCAGAAACGGGGATATTTTTACTGTAGAGGCGGCTGGGGTTGGAGGCGCCCCTACAATGGGCGTCCTCGGGCTCCAGCAGCCCAGCCGCCCCTACAGATGGCACTGTAGAGGCGGCTGGTAACCTGAGCCGCCCCTACAATTGGGGTTGATCTGTAGGGGAGGCTCAATCACCAGCCGCCCCTGCAGTACCCATTTGTCGTTTTTCAAAATTTCAAATTTGAAAGGTACAAATTTTGTCAAATGACAAGATGACTAAAATAAAAGTTGTAAATACTAATGAGTTGAACAACTTTGATATTCATCACTTTTTATGTTGAAATCATTTTGGGTCTCAAATTTTGGTTCGAACTTGTAATTTTTTAAAATTTCAAATTTAAAAGGCTCAAATTTAGTCAAATGACAAAATAACCAAAATAAAAGTTGTAGATCTTGATGAGTTGAACAACTTTTGTATTCATCACTTTTACATCTGAAATCATTTAGGGTTTAAAATTTTGGTTTGAACTTGTTAAATTTTAAATTTCAAATTTTAAAATATGTAAAACATTGTCACATCCAAGTTTGATCAAACTTAAATGCTGAAGCAAGATTTTAGAAATTTTTAGGAAAAAAAACCATCACATTTGGAGTTAGTATGAGGGAGAACAACTAGTTACAAAGTTTACCCATAGATTAAAAAGAGAAATCGCACTGTTCTAGATGATCCTTACATGATCATACTGAACAGTGTGATTTCTTTTTTTAATCTGTGGATCAAATTTGTAACTAGTTTTTCTTTCTCATACTAACTCCAAATCTGATGATTTTTTTTCCTAAATTTTTCTAAAATCATGCTCTATCAATTTATTTTGTTGGTTTTGTCAATATATACATACGAAAAGTTTGAGCAATTTAAATTTTGAATTTCAAAAAAATGCAACTTCAGAGAAGATTTTGGTACCCCAAATGATTTCAGCTGAAAAAGTGATAAATACCAAAGTTGAATAACTTATCAAGATCTACAACTTTTGTATTGGTCATTTCTTCATATGACAAAGTGGTAATGACATTGTTCACAAATGTGACACATCTCTCATAAGGTTTTATAAACTATATGAGACATATGTAAGATTAGTGAACAATGTGTACTAAGAATTTATCAAATGAAGAAATGACCAAAATAAAATTTGTAGATATTCATGAGTTGAACAACTTTGGTATTCATCACTTTTTATGTTGAAATCAATTTGGGTCTTAAATTTTGGTTCGAACTTGTCGTTTTTCAAAATTTCAAAATTGCAATGTTCAAATTTTGTCAAATGACAAGATGACTAAAATAAAAGTTATAGATATTAATGAGTTGAACAACTTTGGTATTCATCACTTTTTATGTTGAAATCATTTTGGGTTTCAAATTTTGGTTTGAACTTGTCATTTTTTAAAATTTCAAATTTAAAATGTTTAAATTTTGTCAAATGACAAGATAATCAAAATAAAAGTTGTAGATCTTCATGACGTCTACAACTTTGATGTTTATCAAATTTTCATTTGAGATCATTTGGTGTCTCAAAATTATTTTAGTATTTTTTATTTTAATTTTTTAAAATTTATTTTTTCCCCATTTTTAAAGGTTCAATTTTGCAATTTTAAAATGTTGTAGTTGTTACATTTATTGTATATGTAAATATATCTATAAAAAAATTATAAAATTTTGTACTATATTATTTATTATTTACATGTGACATGGACATGGGCTCTTTCCACATCGACACGGGTGGGTTGAATAACTGGAGTCTGGAGGGAACCATAGACTCCCAATCTCTTCCTTCCCCCAACCCGCTCAAAACCCTAGCCCAACACCACAGGTCGCTGACGCCGCCTCGCCCGCCACATCGCCATGGCCCATGGGGACGATGGCGGCCTCAGCCAGCCTGCCTCTGCTGCCTCTCTCTCTCCTCAGTTCTTCCTCCCGCCGCCGTCCCCACTCCGCCTCCTCCGGCTCCATCTCGTCCCGCTCCTTGGTCAAGGTTCCCCGCCTCCATCTCTCGTCGTCGTCCTCGTGGGCCGGCTGAGTCCCCTCCTCATGGCTAAGCGCAGGTCCAATTAGAATTAGAAAATAGAATATATATACATGTACAAAGTTGCTAAAAAAAACTAACGAGGGATTTAAAATTATAAAAGTAAAAAAAAGAAATAGAACTCATCAAAACAAAAATAAATTGGATACAAATACACGCCCTGGTCGTAAACGATCGTAAATTTTCAGCCAGAACAGTATTTTTCTCTCACTCCAAACCAGCCAGCAGTAATAATCCACGATCGTATATGATCGTTTTAGCCCCAGCCAAACAGGCTGACAAATGCTTCAAAAAAATCCCATATATTGAAACGAAAAATAAAAAAATAAAAAATTCGGATACAAGCATAAAAAATGTTGGTTTCAAATAAACATAGAAATACTGGGATAAGATGAGAACGACAAGCAAGATAGAAATAGCAAAAAAAAATACAAATGTCTTGTTAACTAGTAAAAGAAAAAGATAAGTTGAATCCAACTACTTCTGGAATAAGCCACCAAGCCAGCTCCAATTTCTACCAAAAAAAGGTCCAAAAGAAGAGTCCTCATCTGGCCGTCCGTTTAAACGCGGGACGACATCGATCGGCAGCCGAACCACAAAACCACCAAAACCCAACCCCAACCCTTCTCCGCTTCCCCTCCTCGCTTCCTTCCTCCCCGCGCCGCCGCCCCACTCGAACCCGAAAGGAACCCTAACCCTAGCCGCCTCCCGGAGGCAGCTAGGAGAGAGCTCGGAGCACCAGCCATGGCGGAGCACGACCTCACGGCGCTGATGGCAGCGCATCTGGACCGGCACCTGGTGTTCCCGCTGCTGGAGTTCCTCCGGGAGCGGCAGCTCTACTCGGAGCTCGAGTTCCTGGAGGCCAAGATCCGCCTCCTCAGTGGCACCAACATGGTCGACTATGCCATGGACATCCACAAGTCCCTCCACGGCACCGACGACGTCCCCGAGGACATGGTCAAGCGCCGCGCCGAGGTCGTCTCCAGGCTCAGGTCGCTCGAGGAGGCCGCCGCCCCGCTCGTCGCCTTCCTCCAGAACCCGCAGCTCGTGCAGGAGCTCAGGCCCGACAAACAGTACAACATCCACATGCTCCAGGAGCGGTACCAGGTCCGTTTTTCCCCCCCTGCTGCTTCTGCCTCATTTTCATTTAGTTGTATTGGTGTAATTCCGTGTTTTGGAGCGTCGTCAGATGTGGTTGTGAAATTAGGAGTTTGTGTGTCATTAAACAGCCTGAAACTGGTTTGCTCATACAGTGAAGCAATCTTCCGGGCTACGTGATTTACTGCTGCTACATGTGGTTACATATAATTAGCATATGATGATTTAGTTCTAGTTCTGCGCTATTTTGTGAGGAATCTTGAATTAGTGGAATGCTGACTTTTGCTCCTGTATTATGGATCAGATAAGTAGATTGTGAGATGTGTTTTATTTGGTAGTATGCATAATTCAGTATGTTATATGTATAGGTGTCCTAAAATCTAGACATGTGTAGTTCTTCCTAGTATTATAGTTGGTTCCCTTGTATCTTTTAGTCAAAGTGCTTGATAATTGATGCTAGTTCATGTCTATGTTCTTTCAACTCTTCAGTAAGGGACAATTCAGAGTCGAGTTTTCTCTTCAGGATAAAAAAGCACTGTAGAGAAAGCACAAGGCATAATAACTAAGATCAAAATTCAGATGAAACGATGAAGCTGTGCCCTTTTATTGTTGTGTAGGCTGTTCTGAGCTAAACGCCAATACACTGACCAATCCTTGTTTATTGATAATTATATATATTTATAGCATGCTGTTTCACTTGTTACTTGCCCATCATTTTTTATCTTGTATATATGAAGTAATTGTCGTTTGTCAAATAGGATGTTGTATATGGGCTAATGATACAAAGGATCTTCAATTCTTATTATATTGGAAGCTGCAGCTCCACATGTTACTAAGAAAATGTCATAGCAGCATTGATCAAACTTTCGACATATTAAACGAAAGATCCAATAAACACTTACAATATAATAAGGATCTTCAATTTCTTGTGTCTCTTAGTTTGACCCAGCAAAACTGAAGAAACTTCGCCTAAGTTTCAAGGAGAATGGTGGTACCCGTTACAGCTGGAAATGCTTCTAGTATAAGTCCTTTTAAGTTTATCTTCAGTTGTATTATCATTCTTGTGATTAGCTATGATGATAGTTAACTTCTTTCTTTACATTATGCTTGTATTTTATTATTTTTGTTGCTGTCCTGTGCATACCATATTTGACTTGTGTTTGTTCTTATGAATTGGCACTCCTATTATGTTTTAGGGGCTTGGTATGCTCTAATTTGTTAAATAGATTGTAACTTTTCTTCTTGTAAATGATTTATTATCACATAAGAAAGTAAAGAAGTGTTTGTAATGTCTTATGCCCATTCAAAACAAAATCAGTCTATGTGTATAATTTCTTCTTGGTTGTCTTCAAAATTCTTTGATCTCACTTTGCACTTGCTATTTTTTCCATTGACTGGTACTGTCCATTGTGTACTGCCTACTATCCGCTTGTGTAGCTACAATTGATCATATCTAATTTGCTTTTATATGGATCAGTGATGGGGCTGCTGCATTAGTTTTGTTGAGTGGGCAGAAGGCTCAAGAGCTTGGCCTGCAAGTCCTTGCAAGGATCAGAGGATATGTAGATGCAGCTCAAGTAAGCTACAGTAACAGTTATCATAGCGTTTGCCGGAAAGGGTAAAAGATCTTTACTAGTATATTGCTAGTGTTCTGTTAGTGAATTTTCAGTGTGTAAATAGGAACTTAGGTAACCCTGCAAATCCAAGCTTTGACATTGATACTTGACTCACAGATTATGAAAACTGTATCCATAAGTTCATATTTGAAAAGAATCCATAAGTTCATAGTCTATGTTATAATGATGGACTTCATAATGGACTATGTTGTAATGATGGACTTTTGTGAATTATGACTTGTGATGATGTTCTAAATAATGGTCTTGTGTTTGTGGATGTATATATGTATATTTGTGGCGGTTGGATTCGAATTTAAATTATATATATATATGGTCAAATTTGAATTTAAATTATTTATTTTTTGCTGGAAAATCCACTGTAGGGGCGGTTCTTGATTGAACCGCCCTTATAAATACACACAGCAGGGGCGGCTGGTGATACAGCCGCCCTTACAGAAGTCCACTACAGGGGCGGCTGATATCACCAACCACCCCTACAGAGGTCACTGTAGGGGTGGCTGAAAACATCAGCCGCCCCAACAGAGGTCACTGTAGGGGCGGCTGAAAACATCAACTGCCCTTACAGAGGGAACTGCAGGGGCGGTCAGAAAATCGCTCTTACAGAAGCACCCTTTGTAGAAACACCCTGAGAGGGGCGGCTGGCGCAACTGCCCCTACAGTTAATTTCTTTAGTAGTGCGTCGCGGTCGACGGAGTTGTAGGTGAAGATGATGCTGCCCCGGCAGGTGTTCTCGAAGCCCTCGTCGCAGCTGTCGCACGACTGGCACGAGATCACCATGCAGCCCACGCCGACGTGGTCGCCCGGCTTGAACCTCGTCACGTTCTTGCCCAACTCCGTCACCACTCCGGCGATCTCGTGGCCAGGCACCATGGGGTACATGGCGTTGTTCCTCCACTCGTTCATGATGCTGTGAAGGTCGGAGTGACACATCCCACAGTACAGAATCTTTATCGCTACATCATCGTCTCCAGTGCTCCTGCATAATACGTATATATATAGTTACACATGTAATTCAACACATAAAATTAACTCGAATGCAGTAAAGACATGTTCATACTAGTCATGAATGAATATAATCATCCAATGGTTATTCGAGCAAATGACGATCCAGCCTGTCAATTGCCAAGCTATCGGTATCTTTCCCGGTCGATGAATTAATCTGAAAAGCTAAAATTCTGAAAAGACTGGAAGTGCAGCACCCATCAGCCACCAATTGGCCATTGCAACCATCATGGCCGACCGTGACAGGACTTGCTACGAATGAGACGTCGTCCATAGCGATACTGAAGATAACGATCGACAATGGGAGGTGCTAGGGCCATCTCCAAATTACAGGTAGGTTGGCCATCTGTGGGACGAATTTGGCTACAGTTCACCCAGTAGAGGGCACCACTAGAGTCTTGTTGACCTATCGCAGAATGAAACTTTCTTCAGTGCAGAAAATGTATATTCGCACAACCGCTGAAGAAAAGGGATCACGTACAATTGTATATAAAATGGGATTTCTGATTATGTAATCAGATACCTAGTTGATGTATATATGGATGTCCTGGTATTGACCAACCAACAATGTAGTACACTCCGTCTGTTTTTATTAAATGTCGTATTAGTTTTGTTATAAGTCAAGCATTTATAACTTTGATCATTGATTTCAAAAAATTTATATAGATTCATGTCATAAGATTTATGCTTTTAGATAAACAATAAAAAATGTTTTCATAATACACAATTCATATGTTGCCCAGTTGTTATACCAAAGTTGTTATGATAAGTGAAGCACTCTCCTCGGTTGTATAATTTTTGGGCCCAGTTTTCATTCAAAAAACTAGAGAGGCATTTGCCTTTTTTCTTTCTTTCTTCGTCTAATAGAAATCACGGCAAAGTTTTTGCCGTCCTTTCAAAAAAGACATAATTCATATGTTGTTCCTTCTAAAAAATAATTCATATGCTGTGAAACTATAACTATTTTTTAAAATAGATAGCCAAATTAAAGATAGTAATGTTTAACTTAGAACCAAAAGTAACTTGATAGGTAAAAACGAAGGGAGAGAGTAATTGGTTGAAACCAACATCAGATGCTGGGGCCAGAGAAATAAGCTAAGGTATAAAGTAGGACAAGGAAGAGTACATGCACGGAGACATGAGCCGGCTGGAAGAAATTGAAGTTGCATGCATGAGAGGATATATGGACGTTGTACATGGTAATCAGTTTAGGACTAATCAAATAGTTATTTTTATTGAGTATAAGTAAAGTGAATGAATTTTGAAACATGGAGATTTTTCGTCCAACGGCGCCCCAGACTCCAGTCTGTTCCTTGGAGACGCAAAGATCGAAAATCCAAAAGCACGTCTCACTCGATCTCCAAGCCGTCTAATCTGGAGGGCCAATCGGGAAGCGCAGGACGACGTGTGTTTAGGACAGACCATTCCACACAGGTCACACGCGACGTTCGTCCGTCCGTCCGTCCGTGGTGCGAGGGGACCGGCCGAGCTAGAGATGTGTACGGTGGCCTGCGCCAATCGGTTTCATATCGAGGGGCTCTCTATAGCCGGCACGCTGTACCACACCCAGGCCGGCGCAGACCAAAGCCACCGTATCCGTATACATTTGCTGCCTGCCGGCCACATTTCTGTCATCTGCTGCCTGCCGGCCACATTTCAGGGTGGATGCTTCGTGCCTCATCTATCATCTGCTGCCTGCCGGCCACATTTCTGGATGTGTCGAGATGACTGTCGTCTAGTCCTCTAGAGAGAGAGAGAGAGAGAGAGAGAGAGAGAGATCAGGGTGCTGCCGATTATATAGAGTACGTTTTTCACGACTAATGGAATTTTGTAGTTTCTTCGATGATGACGTGGCGGGTAAGTATGCCACAACACTGACCAAGAAGACTCCAGCCCTGCACGTACGCATGCATGATTCTATTTTTCCTAAGGGCCCTTCGGTTGCCAGAAAATGCATCTGTGGAAACATTCCGTCGGTGTAGAAAGTAACCAACACGTAAATATTTATAGTTTTATCGTACGTTGTGATCGGAGGTGGCATAGCACTCAATGACACAGGGTTTATACTGGTTCAGGCAACGTGCCATACGTCCAGTTTGAGTCGGTCGGTGACTTTATTCTTGAGCCCAGGTGCTCGAAGTTTGCAGTGAGGTTACAAACGAGAAGGAGAAAGTTGGGGGTACAAGAGGTCCGGTTGGACTCCGGTCGGAAGGACCGAGAGCGACGGGAGCTCCGCTATGAGCTAAGTGTTCGAGCGTGTGCTCATGGTTTGAACCTGGTGGTTCTGCTGTTGTGTACTAGTGAACTTGATCGATCTAATGAATCCTTTTTTTTCTATTGGAAGAGAGCGCATCCCCTTTTATAGATGAATGGGATGGCCTTACAAGTGAGAGGGAGAGAGTACGTATGCTACTAAGCCTTGTTGCCCACGCCGGCGGGTACAAGACGATGATAGGCGTCCACAATACTGTTGAATGTCAGATGCACGTGGGAGGTTGTGTTGTCTTCTTCGGGTATGGCAGACGTCGGCGCCTACCACACTGTTAATACCTGGAGACATGCAAGGGGTTTTACCATGTTCGCCTGGTACGGTTAATGCCAGCGCCCACAACACTGTTAATGCCCAGAGGCATGTGGGGGAGCCTTACCGTATGGGAGTTAATGGCGCCCACAATACTATAGGAGAAAATGTCGGCGCCTACAACACCGCTTGGGTTCTGTTGTGCCAGGAGGGTTGAAGGGTACTGCCTGGCAGGTGAGCAGGGTACGGTCCTTGGTATTATGGTTTGACTTGTGCGCCCTGCCTTACTTTCTCCGTCCGTTCCCTGGTCCTTACCGAGCGGGCGTCCCCGGTCGGTTAGTCCCAGTCTGCTCTGAATGCGCCAGTTGGAGAAGAGCAGTGAGCAGGGGTTTGGTGCATCCTCAGTCGGAGACACGGGTCGGAGTCAGAAGTAGTGCTTTGGCCAGGCCTTCCGGTCGGAGAGGCCGTCCGGAGGCGGGCTGGAGACCGAAGCGAGCGCTCCGGTCGGAGAGATGGGCCAGAGTCAGAAATGGGCATCGTTCCTCCTCGGCCAGACCTTCCGGTCGGTGATTGGATCGCCCTTCTAGCCTGTCATTTAGGTAATTGGGTCGGGCCATGAGTTGCATGTTTGTTTGCCACGTTGCCTGCTGGGCCGAGCTTTTGTTGGGAAGCCGGTCCGTGAGGGACCCCGAGTTTATGAACCCGACACATTCCAACCAGGAATGTTATGTTAATTTGAACTATCTTTGAATGATACCCGGTGGAATCAAGGGCAAACGAACGAGCCCTAAGGCGTGTTTGGTAGCGCTCCGCGTGCACAGTAAACAAATGCGACCACACCGCTATCTTTGCTTCGCTGGAGAAGCTAGCTAGAAGTTCCGCATAACCCCAATGAGAGGCGTGTATAGAAAGAGAGAGAGAGGCAAATCTAAAAAAATAGTGCCTTTTTCTGGCTCCCTAGTCCGCGAGCATGGACCCTCCCCAAATTGCCCACCTCGATGTGGGCAACGTGTGGGCAAGTGTTGTCGGAGATGTGGAGGACCGAGGTACGAGCGGGGGCTAGAGATGGATTCTTCCCTGTGCGCTCTTGGCATCGGCACATCGATCCCCCATGCAATGCTTTGTTGTCCATCCGTGCATCAATTCTGGTTCTAGCTGTGCTCCCCATGCATCGATTCCGTTTGCACATCTGCGTCCGCTAGGACCTAGGGCGAGGATTTGTGGAGGATTGCTCTGCCCTGCTTCCTCACTGAACACAAGCTCCACTCTGCTGTTCGCTGGCTCCTAGCTTTGCCCTACCTTCCCACCAGGCCAAGATTGAGCCACGCGTGCCTCTGCTCCTCTTGCTCTCCCTATGATTCATTTCTTAAAGAAGATAAGATGCTTGCCTGCTAGTTGTTTGCTTATATGAGCATGAATGGCAAATGGTACTGCTTGGGTACTTGTGATTTGTTTTATACTTGCTTATTAGTAAAGTGGTACATTGGTCATGTGATTTTATTGATAGAATCTTATGAACAACTGGGAGTAGATCTTGTGGGTTTACTTCACTATTGCAAGTGTATAAGCCTTGAGAAAGCTGAGAAAACTTGGAGAGAGAGAAAAGGAGTAGAGGGCCATATCTTTCGAACATAGCAGAGGAGGTAGAGGAGGAAGTGGCCACCATGGCAGCGGGTACACAGTTTGGGCGGTGAAGTCCGGCGCAGTAGTGGCGATGCAGAGGCGATGGTGAAGTCAGTGGTGGCTTCCCGTCGCTGGCAGCACGCTCTCTTTTGATTGGATTAGGGTTTCTCTGTAGACGGGTTGCAGCAGCTCAGGTCAACCTCGTACCTCGTGCCTCGGCCCCAACTACCCTTTTATGGTGCTGTGCGATGGGGGCCCACCAACCATAGAGTAGTTGGACGGGCCCGATTAGGGCGTTGATCCAAGGGCTGGGCCAATTGGTGGAGATCAAACTAACATTCTCCCCTTTGATCTCACCTTATTCCTTAAACTTAACTTACTTACTTTATCTTGTTCCTATTCCATCACAGATCAGTGCATAGAGCGTGCCTCATCGTCATGGTCTGTTGCCATTAGATTAAACAGCTACAACACACCTCTTTATTTTAAAACTGATACTCAACTAGGCTCTTAGTATCCAGAAATCATAGGCTTTCGCATAAACCCATGTCGATTGTGTGTTCTCTGAACGCACTGGGTGGTTATCCTTTGGTAAGCGGATACGCAAGTACTTGCTCGGTACTTATGTGCTCAATGTTTTTAAAATGATTCTGGATTTTCTCCTTTACAACATATACCTTAGTGTCAATGTATTTGGCAGCACACTTGACTTGTTATCTTAGGAGTTAACTTACTTTAAAGGGTTATTGTTGTTGCCTACCATTGTT